TATATATATATATATATATATATATATATATATATATATAGATATGTCTATATATATATATAGACATAGATAATAGATAGATGTTACTTTGTTGTCCATAGATCCATAGATTAAGAGATCTTTGATCTTTAGTGCCTCGTAGCTTCATTGATATGACTGAATTCATATCACTGGGGGAGTTGATACCACTTCAATTAGAAAGGTAGAGACAGGTTTATAAATGTTCCTCTTTCCCTGACTTCATACATCAGACTATCGAGGAGCGAAAGCTTTTCTCCAAAACCAAATGTGAAGTAGAAAAACTGTTTTAAATGTTTTTTCTCGACTGCATCTTATCTGCTCGTCCTTCAGCGGCTATGGGTCTTGAGTAACCCATTTACCACATCCACTGCTCCTGAATAGCACTCCAACAAACAAACTTCCTGCTGACGCAAGAGTCAAGTTTCAATAGTTGCCATTGAACGACAGCATAAAAGATTGAATTCCTCTATGACTCACTCAGGTTAGGTTAGGTTAGGTTCGGAAGTTTCACTAGTTGTCGTCTGTTTATGTTGTTTTTTTCAGACACGCCGACTATTTTGATATTTGCATTTGTATTTTTAAACTATATTGATGACTTAAAAGCCTTCTCCAAAGAATTTGGTGACATTTCATCTATGTATAGCCACGGCGGGCTCTCAGTTTACGACACCTTCTTTGCATCTTTGACTGATCTTCCAAGTCGTATATTTGCATCTTTCTAACTCTGTCCTTGCTGCTCTGCTTCTCTCATCTTCAGCATACGTTTCTGTATTTATTTCATGGCCTCTGTGTTTGTAGTCACTTCATCCTCTGACACTTTGCCAGTAACAGTGACTTTGAAGTGTCATAGCTGTGACCTGCAGACAGGTTGAGGACATTGTGAAAAACAGACAGTTGGAGAGGTGGAAATAGGGAGAGAGCGTGCACAGAATGAAAAAAAATAGTAAAAAAAAATAGGAGATCTGTTTACCTTCTTCTCTCCTTCGCTGTCTGTCTCTGCATAACTCTGCAAATGTGGATGTGGGTTTGTGTCTCAGTGTGTCTGCCCTCTGAAATGCGTAGGTCAAATGCATTTGACATAGAACACAATCGGTGTGACTCGCTGGTCAGAGTGAGTAGCCCACAGTGCCCAACACACACACACACACACACACACACACACACACACATGCATGCTTGTATGTGTGTATTTGTAAGGACTATTTAATTCTTTAAGAAAAGTAATGCACATCATTAAATAGGCCTCCTCGTGTTTACTTTACATTTTACACAACAGCCTGGTCTGCGCACTTTTTGACAAGAAATAGCATGTGGACAAACAAAACGTAGCCATCTGCTAAATTTGAACAACTCAACATATAAAACATTTGCATTACACTGAGCAGCTTAGCCGTATTTGTACAGGACTGTTGTTACCTGGGGTCCATCTGTGATCTGTAATAATTCATCAGTGTTCCTAAACCTGTGCAAATCTGCCATGGGTGACATTTCTGGACAGCAGTTGGACCCGAAGCAGAATTAGGCCCGATTCAGACAGGATTAATGGGGAAAAAAGTTGACCGTGCTGCTTTAGCTTAATTGATATTTGCAGGTGACATTTTCAGCTAGTGCCAATTTGTGAAGCTCGAGCTGAGCTAGTTAAACTAAGTAAAACTAAATTTACAGAAACATGCACTACAATACAGGGGATCTGTTAAGATAGGATTTTTAATTAAAATGGTAGTTATAGTTACAGTTAGATTATATTGATCTTCTGTGATGTGACATTTTCGAAAGGAACACAATTTATGGAAGGGGCCTGGTTACAAGAGGGGTTTCAATTAAATCCTTAAAATGGGATTGGATTGCCCAAAGGATATGGCTTCATGCAACGTATCTATACAACAGTTCATATGATATCCTACGAAATTTGAAGTGTTACTCCTCATTTTTCGTGCGTTTTTCCTACGAAAGTCAGCAACACGTGTCAATTTCTGCAGGTTACATGCATACAGTCTTTTCAAAATAAACTCCTACTTTCACAGGAAACAACCTAGTTAGGTTAAGGCAACAAAAATACTTGGTTAGATTTAGGAAAAGATCGTCGGTTGAGTTAAAATAACTACGGAGGTGCCATTACTGAAGTGGGCAAGTGTGACAAATAAGTCACTTTCACATGGGGAACGAACAGCGGCCTCCTGGTGTTTCGTGGACCCGACCACAGCAGTCCCCGCCCTGTGTGGGTTTTTTGCAGCAGGGTATTGCTATCGATCCTAACTTCAGCAGAGCCACCATTAGCAGCTTTAGCTACACCGAGCTGGAGTACGAAGAAAGAGTGCAAAAGAAGTAATCCCAGACAATGTGAGCGTGATAGTTTCTTTCGTTTGTACATACTGGAACGCTAATTAGCTGATGCAAGACAGGTGTGTAGGCAGTGGTGATCACAGCAGCAATCAGGGGACCTGCAGCTGCAAGGAGCTCACTGAGGACATCTAGAGAGCAGGTGCAGGAACAAAGGTGTCCTTATTATACCTCGTCCATAATTGTGCTGCACATTACCTAATGCGGTATTAATCACTTCAGTTTCGGTCTTCATTCATGTTTTACACAGACTGACAGAATTACGATCAAGCTTTTAGACACCGTACTACCTCCATGCACATTAATGGAAATTTTGTTCGAAGGTCTAATCACTCAAATTGCAACAATTATTGATTCTCTTTGAAGTTTTAGGAATATGCTTCACTCTGCAGCGAGTATAAGAACAGGCTGTGCTGTGCAGCTTCTCATTAGCCTGCGTTTCAAGCCCACAGCCAAGAAGAACCGAGCAGGGTTAATCGGGGCTACCTCATTATCCAGGTTATTAGAAACCTTTCCTTTGCCTTTTTTTCCCTTCTTAATGTTGTTGAGAAAAAGGTTATTTGCCTGTGAGGGTGTAACATTTCACTAAATAAATTAATGAAATATGTTACACTTTGACCACAAACTCTTTGAAGTAGCCAAGACTTTGATGAGCCCCAAACGGTCTGATTTCATAATGTTGACGACATGAGGCAAAAGATTTTCTGGAGATGTAATTAAATCTAAATGATAAAAAAAAAAAAGTTTCACGCAACACGACAAGTCACATGAATAACATGATACATCTATATTAATATATGTTTTTTTAAATGTTAAATAACATTCATTAAAACAGTGTTTGGGGCAAAAAGATTCATGTTTTTAATAAATCTTATTTGGACCAGGGGTGAAAAAAATAATTAAAAACAAAAACAAATCAATGTTCCTTTCCTCCAACTAAAAACTGACCTTGGATTATCTATACTCCCTCTCTCGCGTGTAAACGGACACTTTACATGATTACGGCAAACAAGGGTCTTTATTAGTTCTGTTCAGTGTGTTTCGGCCAAACGTTTAGGCTGCGGGGGGATTTGTCTTTGTTCTAGCCGTATTGACTGTTTCAGGGTTTTAGTCAAGTAGAATTGTTTTATGAGAGCACTGGAGAAGAAAGTGACATCAGACAGAGAGAAGGAAAGACAGCCTTGATGGGAGACGGAGAGCGTTGGACTTGCTTTTAAT